GGGGGGGGGGGGGGTGAGGGAAGAGCTGTTTCATTGCCAGCAAACACATTTAATTAAAAATTTTGCTTTGTAACATAGACACAATTTTATCAGAGTCAAACTTACTATGTATGCTTTATATCAGACTGCTGATAGTTGCTATGTAATGCTATTTATTGTTGAAATAAAAGTGACACTTTAAAGTAGTATAATTTTCTAAGCCAGAGACAGCTGGTGTGGTAGTCCCATTTTCAGGCATCTAGAGGTGATCTAAAACTGATTTAATCTAAGCTCACACCATAATGTTGAGACCGCCCATCTGTTAGAGGGGAAATGCTGACATCACCGCTGATAATGTATAGGCCTATAACCCCATTCGATACAATTAATGTTTGTGAAAATGTACCAAAGCCATTTTAACCATATTTAATGCAGAAAATGAACCATAGCTATTAGTTATCCTGAACATTTAAGAGCTATATATACTGTAATACTTCATTAACAAAATTGGGATAGAGCATATCTACTAAAATGTCAACTTAAGCAGCCAATTAAAAACATGTACTGTACCAGGTATAATGAAATAGCACATTTACTTGGGTAAGAACTAAACCCTATGAACACTGACCCTGTTCATATACCAGCCACATATTCTGTACTATTTTTCATACTTTTTCCACAAAATAACATTACAGCCTAATGCCATAATGCATAGTAACAAGGTTTAGTTCATGCTTAATATTTTAAGTTGTGCAACTGATGCTTCCGAGATATGTATACATAAGATGACTTTGAAACTGGTCAATCAAATTCTGACTTTGAAACTGGTCAATCAAATTCCAACTTTTATCCAGGAAATGCATCATTATGGAAGAGTAGTAGTTGTTGAATGTAACAGCGACTGCCAAACAAACATTCTAGTCATCTACTTTTAATTATACTGTATTTCTGTGTTCATTAATTATTTACTGAATCGTCATAAGACATTAATAATGCAGCATCCACAGGTTCCATACATGATGGACAAGTAAAAGAACGCATCAACCAATCATCTATGCAGGTTACGTGATAAGTGTGCATACATGGCAAGAACCGGACGGGGTCTCCAACTTGAAAATCTATCATACATATAACACATCTGAAAGAAAATTAAAAAACAATTTGATATTATTTTATTGATATACATTCCAAACAGAGCCAATTTAACAAAACAAATTTAAATAGCCACTCACTTAAACTTTTTTTTGAGAATCATATAAACTTACAGCTGAATAGGCCTACAGATAATTTTTACTTCTGTATTCTGTTGCAGAAAATAGTGAAAGAGTAGAAAATATGTCATCTTACAGTAGGCCCCAGCCCCAAACAGCAGAGACCCTTAGAACTGAGATTTATGATGGG